ACATACTATGCAAGCTTCTGTCTCAGGGCCTTTGCATTTGCTATTCCCTTTACCTAAGCTCTCTTTCCAAACTTCTCTCTATGGCTTCCTCCCTTATTTCCTTTGCATCTTTACCTAAATAACACTGGTAGAATAAATCTTCCCCGACCACTTTACATAAAGTTGCACCCTTCTCAACAGTCCCTCTACCTTCCCTGCTTTATTCTTCTTGATCACACGACTCTATACTCACATACATTTTATTGTTTGTTATTATTACAGTTTATTATTTTGTTCATTTTACTGTTTATTGTTTATTAAACTCTCTAAAAGCAGTATTTTAGGAAAATATTTTGTTCACTGCTGCATCTCCATTATCTTGAACACTGCCTGTACATAGTAGGTACTTAATAAATATTAGTTGAATGAATGAATTAATGAATGGGCAGTGATGTTCAACATGCAACCAAAAGCTGCTTTCTGTTCTCCTGAAACCTCCAGTAATACCCTGCTGGACACACAACCTTGGGTAATGGTGCTTTGGACAATGAACTGGGAATAATGTCCAATTGGGGATTAAAGGGTATAGCGAGAAAATGGTACCACTAGGAAGAGAAACCATGGATAGGGATCAAGAAATAGGCAAGAGTAAGAATTCAGAGTAAAACTGAAGAGTGACAGGTAATCCAGAAGAACTGTAGGCAACTCCGCTCCAGTTCTCAGGGGGCCAAAAGAGGGTTGGCTTTCCTGAGGTATGTGGCAGGGGCAATCAAATCATTCTATCTGAATATTCAACAAATAAAGTGACTCTGATGGCTGGAGTGCTGGAATACCTATGGCATTACAATGGCATTACAATGACATTGGGAGACAGTCTTAGGTAAAAGAACAACGTATTTAATAATAAGAAGCAAATCTGACTTTCTAAGGTAAGTGCAATTCATACAAGAACGAAAGCACACTGAGTTTTGTCAAAGAGTGAGGAGACAAGGTCAATCTTAGTGTCATTCTTGGTTCTTCCTTGATGATCTCCGTGCATTTCACTGATATATACGAAACACAAAACCTCAGCATAAAATTGCATCATCTGTGAGTCAACAGTGCAAGGACATGTACCATAACACAGCAACCTCTAGATAAATAAAAACACTGCTATTGTTTCTAAGTGCTTGGCCAAGTTATTCTCTTTCATGCATTTTCAAGATTCCACTTTGCAGATATTTTTTCCCAGTCAATGCAATACTTGTTTTGTTTTGTCACCTAATTTTTCAATCACCTACTTCTAGCTGCTAATAAAAGAAATGAATAATATCCCAAGCATATGCACAATTCTGTGTTTGTATTACCAATGGCAGGAACTACTTGTATATAATAATAGTAGACCATTTCTCTAAAGTGAGGATAATTTAAGTTATTTTTATTTGTGGTATGACAAGTCTACTGTATACCTACGGAAGCAGAAAACACTGAATTTTATTGTAAAGCTTGCTGATGAGATGCAGTATGCTTCAAACACATTTCGGTATAAGTGAATAAAAGAAAATTTTTTTTCTGTAAGTGATACAGAGAAAATATTTAAATGTTGAATAAAGCCATGTAATTTTTATGTTCACTGCTTTGTCAAGAAGATATCTTTTCAGCAACATCGTGTTATCAAAGATGCAAACCTTAAATCAACAGCTGCTAGACCTCCAGCAAGTTATGAATTTTTCCTGATTTATAGCAATCATTCTTTTTATTTCTTTTCTCATCAGTCAAGCAGGGAAATTAAGGTTATTTTCATGTAAAAGGTAACACACATTGTGGCTTAGCATTGCACATAATCCACATCTCTTACCTTTTAAATTAAATTGTGTTGAATTGAATGTGAGCCGAGGGCACTTTTTGATTAATACCAGAAATATTGTTAGTAAATAGAAGGTAGAGACAGCATTATTTACATAAAAATAAAGAGAAGAGAACATAGACATAATAATAGGAATCATTTTTATGATTTTCATGATTTGTATTAGACTGATACATCCAAACAAAATGAAGATAAACGCTGAAGAGATTTGTGTTAGTACAGGAGAGAAATGCTACTTTTATTTTTGTTGGTTTTAGGTGTTCTTTAACAAAAATCAACTTGGCCTCAAGTAGATTAGAGGTTACCTTTTGGTGAATTGTGGTAAAAAATACTTTGAAGTTACAATCCATTTCTTAACAAGCTAAAAGTGACCTTGTAGTTCCTAAAATTGTTTGCCTAAATTAAAAGTAGCTAGCATTTGTTAAGCAATTATAATGCATTGTTTATTGTGTTACAATGTTTTCTATAGAGCCTCTACTATAATAGTGGTAACTCTGCAGAGCTAAATACTGTGACAGTCTCCAGTTACTGATGAGGGAATTGGATTGGGAACAAGGTCTTAAATTGTTGAACAAGAATTTAAATCCAGGCTGTTTGACTCATCAGAAGGAAGTCTCAACAGATGGAACTCTTAACATTATGTAACACAGACTCCTGATTACAGAGAAGAATCTCCCTGGAGAATTTAAGCATCCTCTGGTAGCAGCAACCAATATAGAAATCGTCATGTTCTTGATAGGGTTATTTTGCTGATACATTTATGGGTTAATGAAGTTTATTTTGTTTGTCTCATGTACACTATGGCAATGGCTACTATGTGCCAGGCACTGTAGCACTTTATAAACATTAACTGAATGAGAAATAGGTACTATTATTATTATTACTAAGTACTATTATGAGATGGGTACTATTATCCCATTTCATGAATGAGAAAACCAAGGCATAGTTTAAATAACTTTCACAAGGAAATATAGCTAATAAATTATATAGGTTTGACATAAAGAATTTGAAAACATTTTCTTTTTTGAGAGAGAGAGAGAGAGCGAGAACACGAGTGGGGGGTGGGGCAGAGGGAGAGGGAGATAGAATCTTTTTTTTTTTTTTTAAGATTTTATTTATTTATTTGATGGAGAGGGAGAGAGAGAGAGCACACAAGCAGGGGGAGCAACAGAGGGAGAGGGAGAAGCAGGCTCCCGCTGAGCAAGGAGCCCGATGTGGGGCTTTGTCCCAGGACCCTGGGATTGTGACCTGGGCTGAAGGCAACAGCTTAACTGACTGAGCCACCTAAGCGCCCCAGAGGGATGTAGAATTTTAAGCAGACTCCATGCCCATCGTGGAACCTGATGTGTGTCTCAATCTCATGACCCTGAGATCATGACCTGAGCCAAAATCAAGAGTCAGATGCTTAACGGACTGAGTCACCCAGGCGCCCCTTGACATAAAGAATTTGGCCTAATAGTCCACACCCTTAACCACACTACACTAAGGCTGCCAGTCTATATCATCAATTATTGCCTACTCAGCGGCTTACGAGCATATGCTTTTCTTGCCCACAGATCTTTAGGTTAACCACCTGTGGTTTGTCTGATCTACCAAGGGCTCAGCTGGATGACTCCACTTCCAACTGTGGGTCAAATGGCCTTTGCCCCAGGCTGTGGGCCTTGGGCTGAAGGGCTGCAGCTATCCAGGGCATGTTCTTCTCAGATGGTCCAGTAGGGTGCTGCAGCCAAGTCCCAAACTACACAAGCATATTTAAGGCCTCTACTCACATCACATCTGCTAACATGCCATTGGCCGGAATGCAACATCAGTATGGCAATAAGTATACCCTTCCCACAGCAGGAGGAAGTGGGGAGTGAATGTTTTCTGAATAGCAATCTAAATTATCTCTCCCTACCCTGGTTACCACCCAACCAGGTTTAGGAGTAGGGGTGTGTATTAGTTGAGATTACTTTAGCTACTAAATGAGGTAAGTCCCCAAATGTCAATTGTTTAACATAGTAATATTTATTTCTCATGCACATGGCATTTGGGCTGTGTTTCACTTGTTCATTTATGGGATCAACTAGGTTCTAACCTAGCATGCTGCCTCTGTGTTCCTCTATGATCTTGGAGACCTCTTTGTTCAGCCAGCAGACACAGAAGAAGAATGGTGGATTGGGCACGACAGCTTGTTAGGGACCAAATCTGGAAGTTGCATTCATTACTTCTTCACATCCTTTTGGCTAGAATTTAGTCACACGGCAGCTCCTAACTCCAAGAAAGGCTGGAGATAAAATAGAATTGTGAACTCAGAAAGAAGGATAAATGGACTTGGTGAGAGCATCTAGCCAGTCTTTGTCATGGAGGGCGACGTCCTTTGTAAGCAAAGGTGTTCACGTGAGTGTACAAAAAAGCATGGGTATTTGAGCTTGTGCTTCATGGTACCACAATATAGCCTGAACCAGGAAGAGTTGGATATGTTTAGTCTCTTTCTAAAATGAAGATAAAATCTTAGTATAAAATGATAGCCTTATGATAATGGAACTGAGAAAGTCTTGGCATTTTGGGGAGCTGAGCGGGCAGAGCGGCCATCTCTACTGATTCTTACCTCTATCTTATCCTGTAAAAATGAGCCTGGAGTGTGAAAGCCCAGAGTTTACGCCAGAATCAAGCAGTCAACGTGTACAAATGGGAAGTTTTGAAGTCCCTAAGCAGCGTATGAGTCTTTTGAGGAATATATTTTGTGATGGCATGATTTTCCTGAAGCCATTTAGAACTGACATTTCTCTTTGGTTTTACGAAAGTGTACTGCAGTTTTGTAGGGTTTCAGAAGTTTCAGAGACATCTTCCCAATTAATCTTCACTGTTTTTTGAGGACCATGACCAGTTAAAACTCTACATCATTACTTAACCTCCTGATTTTTCTTTTCTTTCTGTGTATTTTTACAAATAAAATTACTCATAAGAGACAGGTGGAAGATGAAAGATTAAATCTATTTTTCTGTGGTGCCAAATCGAACTCAATTTTGAGGCACAGCTATAGGTATCCTATGAGAACAAGTATTCAATTAAAGATGTTATTCATGATACGACTCACCAATTACTAATACAATTATTACAGTACTCGCTGCAATGAGTAGTTCAATTGCATTACAGCAAAATTACGGTGAAATGCAAAATTGGTATTTCTTACCTTTTCATTTTCAGGGATTTGAAGGACCTCAAGTCACATCTTGTAGCTGTCAGTTTTCAATCATTATTTATGTCAGATGTATTATTGACTGATAAAAGCTAGGTTTTCCGGGCTCCCTTTAAAACACTTAGGAGAGTTGTTTTTGTATCCCGCATTTGTGACAAGTACTTTTTGTGTCAAAAACATACTATGTCACAGTATAAGTCACTGCTGCAGTCTCTGCATGCGTGCTTTTCTAAAAGGAGATAAAAACTGTTAGATTCCTTTAAAGTGAAAAACCCATAAAACAAAACAAAATGAAAAAAAAATAGTTTGTTTACACATCATCCACAACATTTTAGTTTCAATTTATAGCATTTGCTTTCCATGAGTTTTATGGCAGGTTTAATTGGTAATGTGGATGAAGCATTTTTGTGTCAACAATGTAATAATAATGACAACTCTAATTATGAAAATTCATGCTTTGCCTGGTTTTGTTATTTTCCTGGGAATTTTTATATCTTGTACCTTAACAAAAGAAATCTTGCAGTGTTGTCAACACTTAGGTTTTTTTTTTTCTTTTTTGATTTGGTGTTTGGTTTAGGTGGCCCTGAGAAATGCTCCTTTATTTTCTGTTTCTTTCCTCTTTTAAGTAAAATTGTTGGTTCGTGGGAAAGAACTGTTCTCTAATGTTAAAGCAGCTGGTGCCTCGATATTCATATTTTTAAGCTGAAGTAGCACAGTGAGATCATTGTGGATAGGGAAGAAGGAAATAAATCAGCTTGTGAGATATTATCATTCACTTTACATCGTGAAAAACAAATACAGCTGTCATATTCTAACATTTACCATAGATAAATTGAAAGTATATATCACTATTTAACACAGTGAAAAAGAGAGACTATCAATGACTATGGGATGTACAGTATTTTGGTAATGTGTTTTATTAAAGCAAAATAAATTGGCCACTAGATGGTAAAATTGCAAAGAGCTTATCAAAGTGCTGAATCAGAGATTCAGTGTATAGAGAAAAGTCTTATGCATTTAGAAGTGAACACCATATTGTGTTTATTAATCTCTGGAATAGGTTATAGCGTTATGCAGCATTTTATTTATTTTTTAATTTATTTTAAGAAAGACTATTTATTTATTTGTCAGAGAGAGTGCGCACAAGCAGGGGGAGCAGCAGGCAGAGAGAGAAGCAGGCGATGCGGGACCTGAACTGAAAGCAGATGCTTAACTGACTGAGTTAAGTTAACTTGTTAACTGAGCCACCCAAGCATCCCATTATACAGCATTTTAAAAATATAAAAAGATATTGAAGTGGACTTTTTATATTTTGTTTTCTCACCTCTCATTTCTTTTGGTAAAAGGACTTGGTTTCTTCTGAGGAAGTAGTTCTCTTTCCCTCTTTTCTGTTCACATGAGAAGAGTTGTTGCCATTTTGTGATAGGAACCTGCAGTTTTTGATCACAGTGACTGTTAGTGGGTGGAATAGGGGAGGAGTGCAACATAGCATTTCCTGCTCTTTCCAAACTGGATGTGATTCAAGATGGGACCAATAGAAGTCAGTCCTTCCTGGTATTTTTTTTTTTTTTTAACTGCAGCTGGGAGAATTTCCAGTCAGCAATAGGAGAGAGTAAGGCCAAAATACAGCAAGAACAGAGAAGAGAGGAGAGAATTTTGTCTGCGTTTGAATTCTTGTGTCTAGGCTCAATAAATCCCAGAAGCTGTGTGCTAAGTTTTTGTCCTTCATTTCTCTGAGACTCCATAGTATCTTTCCAATCAATGCCTTCCCCACTTTTTTACTTCAGAAGTTCAGTCACATTCAACTAAAGGAATAAAGGAATCGTAGCATTACTTATTCAATATAATTATCTACATTTATTTGAATCAGGAAAATATTTAAGTGAAAACTCCAGCATCTCTTAAGACTAGGATAATGAATTTTATTTAGATAATAGGGCATGTTGGATAATGTGGCTTAAAGAAATGTTTTATAGAGTATTTATTTTTCAAGGTCCCCAAAGATAAATTTGTATTTTATTTTACTTTGATACCTAGTGAGAAAACAAGTTTCTAGGCACTCATTTGTGTGTTCATTTATTAATAAATATTTATTGAGAACCACAATATACTAGACACTTTTAGATGCTGGAGACACAATATTGAAAAAAAAATAGGCAACATGTTTGCCTTCATGGAGCTTACATAGCTAGTGCAGAATGCAGATAGCAAACACAATAAATAAGGAAGAAATATGGTAAAGCAGGAGGTGAAAAGAACCATAAAGGAAAAAAAAAAAACAAACCCAGGGCCACCTGGGTGGCTTGACTTAGTCGGTTGAGTGTCTGCCTTAGTCTCAGATCATGATCCCAGGGTCCTGGGATGGCTCCCTGCTCAGCGAGGAGTCTGCTTCTTCCTCTGCCCCTCCCCTCCACACGTGCTCTCTCTTTCTCTCTCTAAAAAATAAATAAAATCTTAAGAACCCCCCCATAAAACAAGGAGAGGTTAAGTGTGCTGTGGTGGGTCTATAATTTTAAATCAGATGTTAGAGAGTCCTCAAGGAGAAGTTGAGATAGAGCAGACTTGAAAGAGATGAAGCAGTGAGCCATGAATAGGGTGACCATATAACTTATCATCCAAATAGGGACACTTTTAAGATTGTGCCTGTCATTCTGGATAGCAGGCACAAATGAGGACTCTCTCAGAGAAACATGGCATATGGTCATCCTGGCTATGTGGGGATCTGGAAGCAGAGACTCCTAGGTAGAGAAAGAACAAGTGCAAGGGTCCTGTGGCAGGAGTGTGCAGGGCTGGTTTAACGCCCAGCAAGGAGGCACCCTGGCTAGAGCCAGATGAACGAGAGAGAGAGAGCAGGAGGGAGAGAAGAAACCCAAGCATTTCATTAGGGGCCCTGAAGGCCATGGTAAAGACCTTGGCATTCACTTTGAGTAAAATGAAGAGTCATCTGATAGTTTTCTAACAGGAGTGACATGATGTAATTTGTGTTTTAAAAGGATAATAGGGTGTAGGTAGTCAAGAATAGAAGTAGGGATTTCACTTAGAGGCTATTGGAACAAGCCAGATGAGAAAAGATGGCGTATGGCACCGAGCACTGGGCCACTGGGCAGTGGTAGCAGCAGTGGTGAGAAAGTGGTTGGATCTTTGATGTATTTTTGAGGTAAAACCTAAAGTATTTGCAGATGGATTTGAAGGTACAGTGTGAGAAAGAGAGATGCATCAGGGATGATTCCAGGATGGTTGGCTGGAGTAACAGAAGATTGCACTTGCTCTGTCCTGGGATGGGAAAGATACTAAAAAGAGCAGGTTTAGGGGAAAAAATGAATTAACTATTGGACATGGTAAGTCTTAGAAGTCTATCAAATAGACAAAGTAATTTCCCCAAATAAAATCAAGACATTGTCAGCAGAGAGAGAGAGAAAAATGTGTTGAACAGGTCAAGTCTGAGGACTTCTTGTAATAACTGTCTGGAAAAAGAAATGAAGTTTTCTGTCATGACTTATTTTTAGTGAGCCTAAGCTAGGATCCTAGTAGTATTTTGTTTCTAAGTTCTCCAAATCCGCTCCTTCAATAATTTGGTGTAGGGTCTTGCCATACTTTTCAGAAACTTTGTTTTTTTTAAGATTGGAATTACTTTTGCATATGTTCTGTACTCCAAAATTTCTTGCAGTGCTTTGGGGAGTACTTAATTGTAACTCTCATAAAATCTCTATGTTCTTTTAAAACCTTCTCACCTGGAGCTTCTGTTTTCTTAAAGTTTCTTTTATGCTATTTTTCATTTTAAAACCACTTATTTGTTCTGTTTTATTTTAAAAGTATTAAGTGTGCATTGAAGAATATTCAGCAAATACATGTGCACAGCAAAAAAGAAAAGGAAAATCTTACACATAGAAATAACAACTCTTAACATTTCAGTGTATATCCTTCCCATGTTATTTCTATGCACATACACGTGTGTGTGTGTGTGTGTGTGTGTGTGTCTGTCTTTGTATCTATCTGCCTATCTCTCTGTCTGTTTTGGTGTATATAAGGTCATCTCCTTGACAGATAAAATGTAGGCATAATAACAATTAAATAGTCCCATGTTCTCACTGACATCTGTTAACCTTATACCATCTGCCCTTCACAGAGGGCTTATTGCTTCCTTATTTTTGCTCCAAACAACTAAAAAAAAAAATCAAGTTTATTTTTGCATTATTTTTCATACGTCTCAATTCAATCTAGAATTTATCCATTACCACAATTTTTAAGAGATCTAAGCTAATCTCTTATATCTATTTGTCCTTCATTGTATGCTTATAATGATCATTGCTGGTTGTGTATATTGAACACATATTTTTTCCCTTTCTTTTTCCTAAAAGGATTCCTGTATGGTTGAATTATCTCAATCCTTACCCAACACTCCCCTTATACATGCAGTCATGTGCCTAATCCACTTGGTTTTTTTTTTATTTTTTAAATTAATGTACAATTCACTTTGTGTGTGTATGCATGCAGTACTAAAGATTTTAACACATATATGGAGAGGTGGTAATACCACTACAGTCAGAATTGAGAACAGTTCCATCACCTCAAAAAACTTCATTGTGCTATCCCTTTGTAGTTACAGCCTCACACTTATCCATACCCCCTGAAAATCACTGATCTAGTCTCTGTTAATATCATTTTATCTTTTTGAGAGTGTCTTATAAATGTAATCTTAAAGTGTGCAAGCTTTTGAGACTGGCTTCCTTCCTTTACCATAATGTTTTTGAAATTCATCCAAGTTGTGTGTGTGGCAATACTTTGTTCCTTTTTATGCCGAGTAGTACTTATTATAATTATGAACCACAGTTTGTTTATTGACTTACCTGTTGAAGGACATCTGGATTGTTTCCAACCTTTGGTGATCATTTATAGAGCTGTAGTAAACATTTGTGTACAAGTATTTTTGTGAACATAGTTTTCATTTCCCTAGGGTAAATACTAAGGAGTAGGATTGATAGTCATATAGTAAGTATATATTTAACATAAGAAATCACCAAACCATTTTCCAGAGTGACTGGATCATGCATTGCCATCAGCAATTTATGACTACCCATTGCTCTGCATCTTTGTCTGCTCATGGTATTGTCTGTCAATCTTTTTAATTTTAGCTATTCTTATAGGTATGTACTGGTATCTCATTGTGGTTTTAATTTCCATTTCTCCAATGACTGATGGTGCTGATCATATTGCATGTGCTTTTGTAACTTACATATGTCCTCTTTGGTGAAGTGTCTTTTCAAGTTCTTTGTCCATTTCTTAATTGGGTTATTTTACCATCGTGTTGTAATAGTTCTTTCTATATACTGGATACAAGTTCTTTGTTAGATATATAATTTAAAAATATTTTCTCTCAGTCTGTAGCTTGTCTTTTTATTATTTTAACAATGTCTTTCATAGAGCAATTTTTAAAAATTTTAGTGGTTTATCAATTTTTATGTTTTATGGATTTATACCCATGTGTTATACTTAAAACCACTTTGCTTGGGCACCTGGGTGGCTCAGTCATTTAGCGTCTGCCTTCGGCTCAGGTCCTGATCCCAGAGTCCTGGGATCAAGCCCCGCATTGGGCTTCCTGCTCGGCAGGAAGCCTGCTTCTCCCTCTCCCACTCCCCCTGCTTGTGTTCTCCTCTCGCTGTGTACCTCTCTGTCAAATAAATAAAATCTTTAAAAACAAAACAAAACAAAAAACAACACTTTGCTTAATCTCAGGTCATGAGGAATTTCTCCTGTGTTTTGTTCTGAAAATTTTATAGTTCTGTATTTTATATTTATATCTATGATCCATTTTGAGTTAATTTTTGTTGTAAATGTGTGATTTAGGTCAAAGTTCTTTTCTCTCTCTCTCTTTTTTTGAATGGATGTTCAATTGTTCCAACACCATTTTTTGGAAAGTCTATTCCTTCTCCATTGAATTGGTTTCCCACCTTTGTAAAAAATAAATTGGTCGTATTTATTTGATTCTATTTCTGTACTCTCTATTCTGTTGTATCAATCTATGTGTCTTTCCCTTTGCCAATATCATTGTCTTGACAACTGCAGTTTTATAGTAATTATTAAAAGTGAATAATGTGATTTCTCATACTTTATTCTTCTTTTTCAAAATTGTTCTGGTTATTCTAGCTCCTTTAGACTTTTCATATTTCTATATATATGACTCTTAGAATCAGTTTGTCTATATCCAGTAAACATTCTGCTGGATTTTGAGTGGAATGCTTGCTTTGAATCTGTAGATTGATTTGGGGAGAATTGACATCTTTACTATGTCAAGTCTTCCAATCCAAAAATGTTGAATGTCTTGTTATTAATTCAGATTTTCTTTGATTTCTTTAATTAGTGTTTTATAGCTTTCAGGATGCAGATTCAGTACATGTTTTGTTAAATTTATACCTAATTACTTCTTGTTTTGGAGTTATTTTAAATAGTATTACTTTTGAAATTTTGATTCTCACTGGTTATTGCTAGTGTACAGAAATATGTGTATATATTTTTGTACTAACCTTATATCCTGTGATCTTGCTAAACAAAAGAACTT